GGAACCTTTACAGGTCAAGGATTAATAACAAGACTTTTGAAGAGTTGGCTTAGAAAGAAATTTGAATGTATTTGTGGATTTGACCTCTTAAATTAATTGTTCAAACTTTAGTACCAAAAAAAAAGGAAAAAACAAATCACAAGAATCTTATGGCTGAACTGGGATACTTATTTGTTGTTTAATCGAGTGAATTGAATGAATATTTTTTTGGTAGGGTTATTTTTTAAAAACTCCTTTCGGATTATGTAATCCAAATAATGAAAATTCGGACAACTTTTTAATGTTTTTAGTGTTTTCAAATTTGAATTTAAACTTAATTTAAAAAGCAGAGTTATATTTAAAAAGATAAAAATTTTGATTAATACACTACATATTATAAAACTCATTTCATTTTTGTTAAAATTAAAACAGGTAAAATACTAATTTTAGTCAAATTTATAACATTTATGTTAATAAAATTAATTAATAACATTTTAGAATATTTAGTGGGTAACCAATAACTTACCAATATATTATAAAACATCTTGAATTTGTTTATTTTTAATTAAGATTCAATTTTCAAATCTGCCACCAAATACATATCTGTAAAATACAGTTTTGATTAAATCTTTATTTTCATATATCACTGACCAAACACATTCTAATCCCTTGAAAGGTTGTACTAAATGAATTAGAATTTTACATGACTTTTATATTATGAAATGTTTACTCTTTGGTAAATTATTTTTAAAAATAATTACTGGAAAGTATAAGAATTAAAAAGAATTATTAAGTAAGGTAATATTTACTTACCAGGAATTGGAATGAGGTTGAATCAGATATATAACAATTACTAATATACCCCTTTCTTCTTTCTAGTTAATTATAAATACTTTATTTTGCTAATTTTTTTTTAATTATAATAACAATAAATTATTTATTTTATTACTATGTGATTTATAGTAAATATTTTTTATTATAACAATTTATCCAATATTAATAATAACGAATAATTAAAATAAAACTACACCAATTAAAATACTATTAAATTTATTATTCTAATATTTAAAAAGAATAAATTAAATTTTTTAAAAAATCTATTAATATTAATTAATAATAATAAAGAAAAAAATAAAATTAAACATAAATTTATAATATTTTATAATAAAATCATACCAACTAATAAAAGTTGTATAAATTTTTATTGGAAGAAAAAACATTAGTTGTAGAAATAAAAAAGAAACAGTAACTAAAATTATGGGTCTCATTGATAAAGAGAGAGAAAGGGTAAAATAGTAAAGTAACTTAAATATGTGGGATCCATGGAATAAGGAATGAGAATCTGATTGATCAAGGTGCAGGAGAGAAAATGATTGAGATTCCCAAATTTGATGTGGGTTTCACGATTTGATTTCATTCCTCTCACTTGGTAAACACCATAAAAAAGGAATGGAAAAATTCATTTTCATTCTCGGGTGGTAAACATGGCCTAAGAAAGAGCTTTGTTTAATTCAATATAATATTATAAATCTATGAAATTTCTCTCTCTAAATTATTCTTCGTATTAAATCTCCCACTTATTCAATACCATACTAATTTGAGCATAACTCAACTGGTTCAAACATCCATCTTCAATTAAACGGTTGTGAGTTCAAATCTCCATTCCGACACATTGTACTAAAAAATCAACCTCCTCTATCGTGAATAAAAAACACATCTCTTTTTAGTAATAATTCTCTAGTAGGGATAATATCATTGTAAATTGTCCGCTTTTCAAAAGATCTCACGTACATGTAATTGATTATACTAGAAAGATGAGACCTATTGTATTTCCCTATCTTTTTTGCGCTCAATGGGTATGCATTTCTTTCCTTTTGACATTTTAGTATGCATTTTTTTAATAGGTCATAATAAAACTTCATAAACTATAAGGATTCAAATTGATATGATGGCTAAAGTAGGGACTAAAAATATAATATAACATTGATTATTGTAATTATAATCTCACTTTATTCTATCTCGTGCACCTTTGTCAAAATAAAAATAAATAAATAGGAGACATTTGCTAATGGATGAAGTGGAATGAAATTTGGAAGTATTCCAATTAATATATTCCATTTATCACTCTCAATTTTTTTTCTTTTAATTTAATGGCTACTTTTACAATATTTTAATTAGGTATTTTGGAGTAGTTTGAATGTGTCATTAATAATTGAAAAATTGTGGTTTCAAACCAAAAATTTTCAATATTAGTAGTATATCAGATACTTATATCAATAGTATATTAGATGTATATGACATGCATATTGGACAGGTACTCGTATCAGTTATATCATATGAATATCACATCCATATTGCAAGTATATCAGACACTCATATCAACAGTATATCATATGTATATCACACACATATATCAGTAGTCAGATATATTACATATGTATATCATTGGGGTAAAGTTGTCATTTTAAAATTTGACCTCTATTTTTTTTAACTGTTATATTTGAAAAACTAATTATGATTGCTATTTTGCTAATTTTACTAAAAAAATTTTGTCATATTTGTAACTATCCCTTAATAATTTAATAAATATTGTGTAGCATACGATAAGGAGGGATTTATGTGAATAAGAGGAAGAATAATGAGATGTATGTATGTAAAAAAGAGATTAATAGGAGGGGTGTGTAACAAAAATTTAAAATAATGTGAATTTATGATTTGCAAGAAGTAGAAATGAAATTTAAAAAATATGTACTTTAAAAAATGATCAATATTTTTCTCAGAAAAAAAAATGAAAAGATATAGTTTTAATGATGTGAACATTTTTTAAGGGTGTTGGAGACTCAAGTTCTATAACATTTGAAGTCAAAAAATTAAAAAAATAAAAAAAGGTTCTATAGCATTTAAATAATAAAATGAAAAATATTGAATTTTATTAAAAAGATATGAATTAAAAAGTGTATTTTACTCTGACTTAACAACTTATAGCCTGTCGAGTAACGTTCTCCAACAAAAATATATCTTTTTTATCAGAGATTGAATCGATCATCAGAAGAAGAATTTGGCAAAAATGGACCGATGCAACTCCTTGACAAAGAGCAATGTATCATGCATCGACCAGCCACGTAGGTCCCGTTGAGCTTTTCCTTTTAATCCGTGTCCTCGGGGGAAGTCATTCCTGAATTGCTTTTATTCAGTCGAGGATTCATATAGTAAGGCAAGACCTCACCAATTAGTGAAGAGTACCAACAGATTAGAAGACTGTAGATAAGTGATTTTGTTTTTTTATAACATCATTCCATCCCACAAGAAAGTTCTCCTAGCAAAAAATTGGGACACATTCTGAGAAAATAAAACTTCCATCGAAGATAAAGCAAATGAAAGGGTTTCATAAAAATTCTCGTAGAACATGTTTCATATTTCTCATTTTTTTAAAACCGTTTACAAAACTAAGTAGAAATTTTAGAAACAACAAAAATAAAAAAAAATCTTATTTTATTTCCATTTTTTTTCAAAGTAGAAGTGAAAGCATTATTTTATCATTATTGACTTATAAAATACATAATGAATATTTGAAACATAAAAATTTAATTTTCATATAAAATTTTTATCATTTTAATTTAAAATTGTAGAAAACAATAAACAATAAATTGTTACACACCAATACTGCTATTTCTTTTTTTATAATTAAAAATAAATAAATAAGAAACATTTAACAAAATACAGTTATATTTTTCTTTATTAAAAAAGAAGAAGTGAGAACAACAAATAAAAAAAACAAGAAACAATAAATCTTTCCCAACAAACCCTTTGATGAAGTTTGGTTCTTGGAGCTCGTATTGCATAATTGTCACAATATATAACTGGAAATTATCTCCTATTATAGTTGTTTTTTTTTCTTTTTTTTTTTAGTACCCTATTTTTGTTGTTGAACTGCACTACAAGTTAAAAGTATTTTCTTAAATTTTTCTTCTTAAAGAAAGAATAAAATTAACCAACAAAAGTGAAAGCAATTTTGGACGAGATTTACTTTTTTTTCTTCAGTACTGAGTTAAATTATATTCACTTTGGTAAATTTTTCTTTGTTTTAATTGGTTTTTGTTAAGTTTTTCCATAATCAATAAGAAAGAGTTTTTGTTAAGTTTTCCATATACAATAATTAAGATTCTCTTTCTTTATCGAATCATTTTAATATCCATGACTAATTAATTCATTTCAAAATTTTTGTTTTACCGAATTTATTATTAGGACTGTTTCAAATTTATATCATGTTCCAAAAATATCCTTATAAATATTTATTAATTTATAAATTAATTTGTTATGATTTATATATATAATAGGTTTGTTTTTATTAATTTAATAGTTTACTTTTTAAAAATAATTCTATATATATATTTTTGTAACAAATTAATATAATATTTTTTAGAAAATGATTAATATTAAATATCAATTTCTTCACTTTCTAACTTCAATATTTTTCTAAAAGTATAATTATATAATTAGTGTTACCTTGAATGAAATTTATTTATCATATTATACATTATAACAAAATATATAATTACACAAAGTTCTTTATTAGTGAATTGGAAAACAAAAATCCTATATGAAAAAAATAATAAATAAAAGGCGAAAAAATGTAAAAGGACGCAATGCCTATTACATGAAAATCTTGAAAACTCATATTTCAAAAGGACATCCAAAATACGAGACATCCTAGGATATCCAAATATCTTGAGAGATGTTCATACCGCAAACGGTCATTTCAAGATTTTATATCTAACACATATAAATAGGGGCATGATTCTGTGGACATAATTTTTAAAAATCACAAGTTAGACGATAGAATTAAACTCACAAATCGTCTCTACACCGCCCTTTATCCACCCATTCGAAAAACTCGCTAGTTTCCTTCTATTTTTTACTTACTCGCCGTAAACTCTAATGTAGTCGACTAACACATTTAGCCAAATACAAAACACCAACCCCCACCAAAATGATCTCAAAGGCAAGAAACACAGCATAACTGGAGGACAGTAGTTACAACATTATGGCATTTGGTGGGTAAAATCTTGCATGTATTAAAACAGCAGAACTACATGAAGTGGGATTTTATCATCAAAGTAATTACAGAGATCTAACTCATCCACCTGTAACTATTCTACAAGGCAAAAACTAAACTTATATCCTCAATTTTTTGTCAGATAGAAACTTCTTCAGCAGCTCAAAGCAATGACACAAGCAAATCAATTTTTTTTTTTTCAACTTTCAATGGTGGGGGCTACCTGATCTTTGATGCCGGTCTGGACTCTCTGCAGGGCAGTGAAGTGATCCTCTCTATAGTGGGAGGAAAACTGGAAAAAACAATGTTGGTTTGCTAAAATCCTTCCCTCAACTGCTACGGATTACAGGAGCATCCCATATCCTGCAGATTAGATATTGATTGCTGTGGACATTCTTCTTTCCCAATGGATAAATTAGGATGAATTCTCCAACCTATGAATACAAGATTGAAGTCTGGTTAGGTTTACAGGTTCGTTCAGAATGCAGATCATCTGTGTCGTACCGATAAACGGTTTGTTCTCATATTTGGTGCAGCATAGAAGAAAGTTGTCTCAGATTTTGTCCCCAAAGGTTGCAGGTTCTTAATCAGAATCTTCTTCGCATTACTAGCCTTCACTTAAAGTTGCAAAGCCAGGTCTGGCTGCTGGGAGTCGACCAGAACACTAGAGGACTGTTTTACGGGGGACCCGGGAGACTGAAAACCGATATTCAGGTCAGGAGGAAGCATTTCCTGCTTCTTCCTTGGCTGGTTATGTGGACTGAGAGCTCGCCAAGTTGATTGCAACTGGAACTTAGACATGTCGGCCTGAACTAGCTGAGGGTAAATCATGGACCGGTTTTGCAGCTGTTGTTCATTTGCTACAAGAGTGGCTTGTGGAACAAATGCCTGCATAGGGAAATTGCTCTTCTCAGACTGAAGCTGATTGCCTCCGGCACGAAACTCTCCCCATGGTCGCATGATTTGTGGATGAAACTCACGAGCTGGATTATACAGTGAATCTGCTGAGATTTGACTCTTAGGTGTGGAATTCTCTCTGACTTGTTTAAACCCTCCAGCCCCAATTGACATCCACGCACGAGAAGCTACTGCTGCAGCATTGTTAGAATCGTCTCTCATTGCAGAAGGTACTGATGACAAAGCTGGTGGAGAATCGGATGAGGATTGATTGGATGAGTTCTCTTGTTTTGGGATTCTTTCAGACATCATTCTCATCAACTGCACTGGCTTACCGGAACCCAGGTCCTGTCCGTGGGAAGTTGCCATGGGAGCTGTTTGAGAAGGCAAACTAGAGGATGATAAGGCAACCAGTGGATTATTCAAACAATTGCTCGGGAATTTTCCATTCGGCAATCCTCCGGTCACAACACCATTAACAGCAGGCAGTTTAAAAGGTGCAGATTGCACAAGATTTAAGTTTACTGACGCCATATCTCTAGACCTAGAAGTAGTCATATTCGGATTGGCTGGAAGTTGCTTCTCTACGCCAAGATCAACTTTATTTTGTTTTGGTGAGGGCAAGGAATTTAACTCAACATGCTTTTTAACCTTCTCTCCCTCGGTAAAATTCTTCGACTGCAGGTTTGGCTGCGGAGAAGGACTGGCATTTGGAGTGGTGGATCTAAATAATGATGGTTTCCCATCTAAGGCGGACCCTCTAGCAAGAGTATTCACTTCTGCAATTGGTCCACTATGAGAATGTTCCTTCTTTGGCAAAGGAATATCCGTAGGCTTTCCATCCTTTCTTAATTCGCTGGTAGAATTTCTACAGAAACCAGGTTCCTTCTGGTTGTGGTTCTCAAACATTAATACTGGAGTTGGAAGTGGCTCATATTCTCCAACCCAACCACGGCCGAATTTATATCCAACAGGTAAGCCCTGCTCAATCCTCTGGGAAGCAACTTTCCAGGCTACAGGACCAAGTGTTGCCGCAAATCGAGCCAGACTCCTAGCATAGGAATACTCTGCATGAAGCCCAACCTAATCCCAAAATAGGAAAGGGTAAAAAAAAGACATAAAAATCACAGGACAAGATAAGACCAGCCACAAATGACTGCAGAAATCAGTTTCTTTGTGACGTACCGCAACAAGCTGTCTTACTTCATCCTCAAAGGTTGTAAATATTGACTCCGATCTTGGCGCTGGTGAATTAGATATGTTGTAAGTTGCACGACGGTTGTCATCAAGCACAGATGTCTTCCTCCCCAATTTACCTAGAAGACCCCTCCCTATAAAAATTACAGCAATAAGAACTTATTCTCATGTAGAAAGACATAATTGTCTTGAAGGGTTGAAATAATCATGAATCAAGCAGATTTATTGGAGATACAAGAAAACCAAATAAAAAGGATAGAAGTTCCATCTCAAATATCAACGAAAAATTGTGCTCCAGAGCTATCTCAGGGATTTACTTTGGTGATTTAAAACTAGACCATGTGTCCAAATATCCTATTGATAGATTTAAAGAACAAGATTGAAACCAAGGAGGAATTCTTCTTCACAATACCTGAAAAGAGTTCTTCAGCCTTGTCTGGATTAGTAGTATCAAGGAAGGACAAACTGCCCTCTATTTGGCCATCAATATTGCTCGGTACCTCACAATTGACACCTTGGGTTGGATTGGAACTGTTCAGTATATCTCCTGTGGCAGCAAGGGTCGCACCCGAGGAAAAATCAGATCCAATGGGTTCCTGCAATGTCCTGAAAAAAGGTTTCTTCGGTGGTTGTTTCTTGATGAAGGAATTGGACTTTGTACTCTGCTCTAACTTCAACTCTTTCTCAGACCGTTCAACTTCCATTCTCACCCTCTCGAATTTCTTCTTGGCTAGCTCTTGAATGGAACGTGCCTTTAGAAAAACAAGTATGTTAGTTAACTGAAATGATAGGAAACAAAGAAATTTGAGAAATCAGAATCATTATACCTGTTTGTGGTAAACGGTTTCTGGTGAATTGTATTGCATTGCATTTGAACATATCAGAAAAACGTCACTCTGCATCCAAGAAGTTCAATATTTAACAAGACAAGTAAACCCCTTAACCAAGCATTATTTCTTAAAACAAGGGCTGATGCAACAATTAAATTAATTGACAATAGCCAACTATGTAGTCAATAAACAACATTGTGAAGCAATCTAGTATAAAACATTCCCCTCCCTCAAAAAAAGGAGAAAAAAAAAATCACTGCTTCGGAAGAAACAAACCTCCATGGACCCAAAATAGCAAAACTACAAAATTACATTTATAACAAAATGCAAGGTACAGCTTAGATGCGAAGCAATGATATTTGATTGCCAATATATACACACGAAAAGAAAGGATAAGAAATCTTATTTGGCACCAGAAAGCTATAAGATTAAAAAAAAAAAATCATCTCCAAGAGGGAGTGGGGAGTGGTTTAGAAGGCTTTCAGCATAACTAGCCCAACTAGAAACATGAAACAAACTAAATCCCAAGTTTCCTAAGTTTCCCACAAACTCCAAAAAGTGAAACATAGCAGAATCATTTTAGCCTTTTTCCATGAATGAGAGACACCACTACCAAACTTGTCTAATAATGTTGAATGGCAGAGACAGTCCATATTCGAAACCAAACTATAAATTCTTCTTTTGTAAAACAATAGGTGAGAGTGGGATTTGAACTCACAACTTTTTGGTTGAAGATATGTGTTAATTATTAAGCTATGCTCAGGTTGACATCGAAACCAAACTATAAATATGAAAGAGATACATAAACTTGATCAAGGTTGGGGGTGATCTTGCAGGAGTATGGAGACTTCAATAGGCCTAATAGAGAGTACAACCAGATGAATTTCCAACCTATGTAAGCTCGACTAGATGAGCCAACACCTAAAACCATTCAAGAA